CCAGATTGAGCCCACGTTAGAATTTCAGTACCAATTTTTGACCATATTGCAAAAGAAAATGGGCGTCCAATACACCGAGGCCGATTTGAAAAAGGTCACAGATAACTATTTCCACCGAGTGGCCAACTTGAATAACGCCACCGTGTTGGCCGCGCTCGAGAAGGAGCACTTTGATCTTGTTACTAAATACGATAATTAAGTAACACTATTGTAAATTATAGACCATGTTTGTTAAATAAAAATACGCATTATTTGATCATTTGTTACTAATTTGTATTTACACTAAATTTGTTTTCTAAAATGAAATTATTTTATATTTAGAAAATTATCTTATCTCATATTTACTTAAACTTAAACTTTGAACTATTAAACTTAAAAAGACCTAGTTAATTAAATAGCTTAATTTATTTAATTAATTATATACTTCCGGATTTTCAATGCTGCAATTTTAACTATGTCTAGTCAAAATTTTTAAATTTAAATTCTAAATTTTACTAAAATTTTTAGTCAAATTAATTTAAGTAAATAATGGAACTTTTGACAAGTTTTTAAAAAATCTATTACCACCAATGATTTTTTTAGTTCCCAATTGTACGTTTCACATACACTGTACACATGTATACTTTACACACAGATTTGAAGGACAGTCTGCCCCTATGTATACATTTGTACACATTTGTATACATGTGTACAGTGTATGTGAAACGTACAATTGGGAACTAAAAAAATCATTGATTACGACATTTAAAAATATCTAAATATAATTTGTATTACGGATAATTACTACGAAAAAATATATTAATAAACTATATGCCTTCTCCAATATGATTGGCATTTGGGTCGACTAATGATAGCATAAATAGAGTGAAACTGTCTTCCATTCTTACCCCTCAATAACACCATATGGTTTTACATTAACTTTTATATGAGTCATATGAATGCTATTATCGCCGCTCTAGCGTTAAATTCCAATCTAGTTTTTGAACACAACTTTCACGTAAAATGAGTTAATTTTTTTGTGTTAAAATCGCAAATTTTTGTTTAATTTTTTTATTTATTTTTTTTCATTATTTTCATCATAACTTGAAGTAAAAGTAAAGTTGAAGTAAAGTAAACTAAGTAAAGTAAAGTAAAGTTAAAGACACCTATCTGTAATTATTAAAAGAAAAAAGTTAGACTATAAAATGATATGTTAAATATTAATTTACCTTTAATTCTGACAGTTTATTTTATTTAAATGAGTTACATTTAAACGTACTGTAGATAACTTCTGTCTAAATAATAGTGTGGTTAGGGTGCAAGGCGCAAATGGGTTAAAGCAGTGCACATTAATTGGACACAGTGTTAAACAATGCATACTTTATTAAGAGGCAAAACTCAATACAAGTAATATAAAGTAATAAACAATATGTCAGTCTGCATGTGATCGGTAGAAATTAATTAAAATAATATTAGATAGTAATTAATAATAACAATATATTGTAGATAATTTAGAATTTGCCGTATTATAGAAATTTGCAGTATAATAAAAGTATTAAAAAGAAATAATAATTGATAGCAGTTTATATAAAATATAGAATAACATAGATATAGCCTTAAAATATGCAGTTTAATTGTTGACCAGATCAGATGCATGTGACATCCTCTTTAACGCTAGGCTTCAACACATTTTGGTTTACCAGTCTTTCTACATTTTAATCCTTGTGCGCAATTTCGAATTATTCCGCCCTTAACGTTATCAGATCCCGCGGAACAATCATCACCCGCCTTACCTAGATGTGTTATTAAAATTAATGTATGCAATATATTAAATATTTATTTATTGTTGTATAGTAATTGGGATTAGTTATATTATTAGAATTAGCACAATTGTAATTTAAAATTATATAATAAATAGTACAATATTTGCCATATTTAATTAAATTATTATGCTATCATATTATATTACTTACGAACGGTTATAATGCACTTTGGGCAGCAATGGCAGGTCTTGTGGTCGATAAAGCCTTTGTCGGTGAAAATGCCTTTATTATTGTCGCATTCTTTACGTATGTCTTTCCCGCACTTTACCCCGTTACAAGCATGTTTGCAACCGCTCTCATTCCACGCCATAACACTGGCCAACATTATGACCAAAATAAATATACAGATGCTGTGCGCCATTGTTCAACAGTCAAAACTGATATAACCATGACTGGTTTAAGGGAGGGAAAGGATGAAATTCATTAGACGTGATTGTTGAATCACCAAGTCAATTTTTACACTATTATTCACAATAATCGTTAGTATATTTGTAGTCATAGTCTCCCCTTTAAAAATAAAAATACTCAAACTATCATATTTTTAATAAAAGTTTATTTAAATGATTAATTCATGTTTATTATAACCCCCACTTTTATATGACTTTACACTATCTATGAATAATATGCGAATAGTGTATAAATTACAAAACACTCGTTTATAAAATTTACACGTGTAAATTGAAACCAGTTATGGATATAACTAATGATTAATATTAGACATATGTGATTTACAACAAAATTATATGACTTTTTATAATTATTAATATAAATGAATAGTATTTTCTGTAGTATTGCATTTCATGGTTTACATAAATTATGTTACATATAAGTTGTGTATAGAGTATAAGCAATGAAACACTTGACGCTAACAAACTCTCATAAAATGCTAGTAAACACAATGGCAAAACAATTTTTGCTTAACATAATTAATATTTCTATGATTTAGGATATTAGATTTATGCACATTAGGCATAGACTTGTCCATCACTTTTCCGTCAATTTTGAAATGTTTATGGAATGTTTTTTAAGATTTCATTTTTAATTTTCATTTTGAGTATGTATTTATTTTTGATACATAAAAATCGTAAAAATTGACGGAAAATATAATTATATAGTCTATGCCTTCTCCAATATGAACGGCATTTGGGTCGACTTATTACCGCATAAATTGTGTGAAAGTGACTTCCATTCATTTATACCACCACATGGTTTCACATTGATATATTAGTTATAAGTGTGTAATTATCGCCGCCCTGGAGTCAAATTCCGATCTAGTTTTCGAACTTCACTTTCAGGTAAAATGAATTAATATTTTGTATCAAAATAGCAAATTTTTGTCAATTTTTAAAATTGTTTTTTTTCTTCATTATTTTCATTATAATTTTGTTGAAAATTAAGTTTATTTTGTTAAAATGGCTTAATTCTATATAAAAATGACCTAAGCACTTCTAATTATACCTATTGCTAAATATACAAAAAATTGGTGTTATTGAAATTTACACTTTGGTGAATATTAGCATGTTTAGAATTGTTCTATTGCTATAAAGTATACATGTTTATTTATGATAATATTAACAAATGATTAATTGATAATTTTGTTATTATAAATTACATGTTAAAAATACATTTCTTAAGTCCAGTTAAAGCAAATGGTAAGACAAAGCAAGTGCGGCCCCGGGGGGCAAAAAAGTGTACATTCATATGATGCCCTGGTTCGAGACCAAGGCCTCGGGTGGCGGCCAATGGGGTATCCACTGGCGTATGAACACCAAAAACCCGGACATTGTCGAGGGGGGCAAACGACAGATAGCCTCCTACTATCACCCCTTGATAGACGCCTACGCGTCTGGCGATACCCACGTCATTGACTGGCAATTGGGCTTGATGAAATTGTCCGGCGTGGCCGGTGTGCTGGTAGACTGGCCAGGTACGTCGGGCAAAATGGATTATGGTGCCAATATGCGCAACGCCGAGGCTATTATATCGCGTACGGCTGCCCACGGGTTGGAGTTTGGCGTAGTTTACGAAGATAATAATTTTAAACTAGCTGGCATTACCGACC